CTACGACATTGGGTTGTTAAGATATAGAGATTAGACAATCAAAGTTTGTGGTAAAGACTCAGTTCCTTTATAATAATCTATATGGAATCAATGCGTAACCCCAAGATTCAGATTCGCAACATAAAGGTTCTGTGCGCAGACTTTAATACAATTATGACATTATGAGTAATTTTAATGTAAACAGGAAATACCTATTTTATCCTTGATTTATACTCTTACTTAATTCTATGTTTGAACAGAGTTGTTTCTGGGCAAGATTATACAATAGAGATATAATATTTTTTTGACACTTAGCTCCACTTTTTTCAGTAACAATTTCAGCTATTAAAGGAAGTGACCGAGAACGTAGTATTGTGAAGATTTTTTAAAGAATCATTCGATACCTATGAAACTTTTTTAAGTTCAGCAAGAGCGCAAATTCATTCTTTAAAATCCTCATTGGTTGTTCATTTTTTAGGGACGGTTTTGAGAATCGGTTTAAAAAATATTCAATAACTACGACGAAAAATGTATTTAAATCAACGCATAAAAATTAAACTGTCTAAATTTTTATCCGGCAAGACAAGCAAAGTATGTTTAAAGAAGATAAGGGTTTAAATGTAACAAATTCCAATGATTCATTTGATTAGAACAAAATTTTAACCGAATTAAAGAAAAGCATGATAACCCTGAAATGTCTTCCTCATTGAACTTAGATCTTAAAAATGATGATAAAAAAGAAATTATTGCCACATAAGTCTTACTGAAATGAGATGAGTTTGTGTACCGTCCCGTTTTACCGTCTTTAGTTTATTTACTGTACAGCTTGCTCTAGCTGCCTAAATGAGATGAGTTTGTGTACCGTCCCGTTTTACCGTCTTTAGTTTATTTACTGTACAGCTTGCTCTAACTGCCTAAATGTCAGGCCGGTACTTCAAATGAACCGGTTTTTTTTAGTTCTATGCATTACAACTGTGTTAGATGCATTCAGGCCAAATTTGGTATTTACTTGCACTTCTTGCACTTTATGCACTTCTTAAACTGTAACAGTTGAGCCAGTTTTTAGATAAAGATTTGGAGAATTTCAGATTATGGACCTGCTAGATTTACTCTGTTATTTGAAAACATACAGAAAAAAATGGAGATAAAGAGTTACTTAGATAGAGAGCTGGTTAGATATTTAGATAGATAGATAGATAGATATGTAGATAGATAGATAAATAGATAGATAGATATATAGATTGATTGATTGAGGAAATTTCGATAGATTAATTTTTAAAAGTTAAAATTACTTTGAATACATGCTTTATTTGGCTTTTTTTTACAATTTACTTCTTTAACGTATTTTGCCTGGGCATTGACTGTAGGTGTGATTCATTAGTTTTCTGAAACGGGACCGCCCTTTTTAATTCTCAATTAAAATGTTATCAATTAAATTGAGTAATTAATTGAAATTTGACCCCTGGAGACCGGAAACTATAAAATCTATTTTTAATCCTTGATTTGATTTTATTAAATAGAGAAAGAAATAAAGAAAGAAAGAAAGAAAGCTAAAGAAAGAAAGAAAGAAAGAAAGAAATAAAGAAAGAAAGAAAGAAATAAAGAAAGAAAGAAAATTAATTTTAGAGAAAGAAAGAAATAAAGAAAAAAAGAAAGAAAGAAAGAAAGAAAGAAAGAAAGAAAGAAAGAAAGTAAGACAGAAAAAAAGAAAGAAAGAAAGAAAGAAAGAAAGAAAGAAGAACGAAAGAAAGAAATAAATAAAGAAAGAAAGAAAGAAAGAAAGAAAGAAAGAAAGAAAGAAAGAAAGAAAGAAAGAAAGAAAGAAAGAAAGAAAGAAAGAAAGAAAGAAAAAAAGGAAGAAAGTAAGAAAGAGAGAGAGAGAAAAAAATAATTTTAAGTGATGAAGATTAGACAGAACCCTAAAAGTAATCTTTATGTTTAGACTTGTAAGGTGTACAGGGCGCTTCGTGCCGTTGCTAATTAATCTGCAAGTCTTTCTTTAAAATACCACTTTTCCGGCGGATCAGAAAATGAAGAAAAACTAAAATTACTTCAAAACCAAGATGGTAGTTTTAATGTTTCATAGGTTCTGATCGAGTGTGTATATTTTCAAATAAAACCTTTATCTGGGCAATTATATGGAATTCTGCAAGAGCAAGATCAAAGGACAGCTTGTAATGGTACTGCTGTAAATAGAACATGTAAATCTAGAGAAGAAGAGAAACTGAAAGTTACGTATATAAAGTCCATTTAAAAAAAACTGCTTGGCCATGCATGCAATACATGTTGGTTCCAAGCAACCATATCACCGCAAACTAAAGTAAATTTGATATATTTATTGTGGAGAACAATTTGATTTCTAAAATATAACTAGATAACTTTGCTTATTTTATACTCTTGTGCGTCAAATCATATCTAGAGGATCCACTATAGTTTCAGTAGAAGTAAATATTTCCATTTAGGATAGCGCCGATAAAAGGATAACTCTGATTGGATGATTAGAAAGATAGAAAGATAGATGATACTGCAATGCAATTTCTATTGGTTCAGAATAGACACCGAACACATGTCTACACCCTGATTGGATCAGCCGCTAATGGAATCGCATATAAGTATTTGAAGCTACGAGGTCGCGTATATTTTACCTTCTTCCTTTTGTCTAGTTTGAAGTAATATTGAGAACAAATTTAATGTAAAAAAGTCTAGTTTTGATTGAATTATAATCTTATTTTATTTTTAGTTTCAAAGATACAAACGTCTGTTTACAATTTGCCGTCTGCTTCAGAAAGTTGAAACATACCTAAAAAAACGTACAAAATATTAGCATATTTTCAAAGGAATATTGTTAAAAGAAAACAAACTAAATCTATGAATTCCATTTACATTTAGTGAAACTAAAGCATGTCCAATAAAAAGGGTTACCAACAACACAGGACGAGACTTCAGAGACGACTTTAAAGAGTTTATGAACATATTTTTAATTGATTATCGGGTCAATTCAGCTTTGAACGCGAATACAAAAAGTTTAATTTTCAATAGAATGATAGTTCATTAATGTTTAATTTACCGTAGAATGGTAATTCAATAATGTTTAGTTTACCGTAGAATGGTAGTTCATTAATGTTTAATTTACCGTAGAATGGTAGTTCATTAATGTTTAGTTTACCGTAGAATGGTAGTTCATTAATGTTTAGTTTACCGTAGAATGGTAGTTCATTAATGTTTAGTTTACCGTAGAATGGTA